AAGCGTCCCGCTCATCATTACAATACTAAAACCAAAAGGAACAGAAAAATAATCACATGTTGACAGGGCCGGGAAGAATCTGCCACCTTCTTCCTACATGACACTGTCACACGTGTGTTTGGTCTTTATGATGTTGATGAGTTGTGTTCATGTCTAGATGATAAATCGGATTCTCGAAACATGTACTTTCTCGAAGTGACCATCATGTACGTGTTTCCCTTGGTAATTTAATCGACCCATTTGTTGTACTACTAGAAATGGGCCGTAATACTTGGGTGAAAACTTTTGAAGATGCTTTGTCATCATTTGTTTGATGAACACCAATTGACCTGGCTTCAGCGGTGGTAAATCGTGACGTCCAGTGTCATACGTTCGTTTGTAGACGTTCTGTTATTGTTTAATGTTATACCAAACTGTTGATTTAGCTTGCTGCAAAAATTGGTTGAGTTGATTGTAATAATCATTGATGGTGGGTGGTTGGGTAATTGGACGTGGGGTATCAAATGAAAGTAGTGCGTCACGACCATACATAAGTTTGAACGGTTCCATTTGTGTTGTGGACTGTTTAGCTGTATTGTAAGCAAAGGTCGCGTATGGTAAATAATCATCCCAGTCACTCTGTTGTTGATTTACGTATGTTCCAATTGATCCGACTAATGTTGCGTTGAATCTTTCAGTGAGACCATTACATTGTGGATGATATGTTGTTGTTGTGATATGATTGACACCGCATCTAGATGCTATGGCTTCGAAAACATGTGACATGAAATGTGTCCCACGATCGGTCAACAATTGTTTCGGCACACCATATTGTAAAATGACTTTCGTCACTAAGAATTTGGCTGCTGTTTCGGCCGTACAGTTAGCTGTTGCTTGGGTAATAGCATATCGCGACAAATAATCTGTACATACCAAAATATACTTGTTTCCGTTGGCTGATTGCGGAACCGGTCCAATAAAGTCTAATCCAATGAGGTCCAAAATACCAGTTGGTGGTTCAGTGGGTTCTAATTTCCCCGCTGGTTTTGTTCTACCAATCTTGAATTGTCTACATTTGGTACATGACAATACATACTCCTTGATTTTGGTGTACATGCCTGGCCAGAAGTATCGATCCCGAATCTTATGCCATGTTTTATTGACGCCTAAATGACCACTTGTTGGACTGTCGTGGTATGCTTGTAACAACTGATCGACCATAGAGGTTGGGATGTATGGTACTTTCAATGTTGGTTGGCCAGGTCGAGGAAGAATTTTATGTAAAATTCCATGTCTAATACATATGATTGTCGACGTTTCCCCTTTGTCAATTGATTACATATTTGTTTGATTACAGTGTCTTTGTGTTGTTGTTCTTGAATCGTGGTTGAATCGAATGGTAAGGAGAGAGACATATTGATGCTGTTTACTTGACCATGCATTATCTCCAGTTGGTCTTCGACGATTGTATCCGGTGCAATTGGGTATCTCGATAAGCAATCCGCGACACAATTGGATGACCCCGGTGTGTGTTTGATATCAAAGGAGTATTCTTGTAGTTGTAATGACCAGCGATCGAGGCGACCATTCTTCGAGGATTGTTTGTTTAGCCAACACAACGGGTGATGATCGGTGACAAGAGTGAATTCTCGTCCATACAAATAAGGGCGTAATTTTGTGATACACCATACCATGGCTAAACATTCTTTCTCGACAGTCGAATATTTTTGTTCTCGCTTTGATAATGATCTGGATAAGTATTGAATCGGTTGTAGATGACCTTCAGGAGTAACTTGATGTAATACTCCGCCAATACCAGTATTAGATGCATCGGTGTTGATTTTCACTTTTAGTTTGGATTTGCCATCGTAGAATGCCAGCAATGGATATTGTGACAATTTTCGTTTCAAAGTATCGAAGGATTGAAATCTTTAATGAATCGCCGGTAAAATTGTGCCATTTGTACGAATGAATATGCGGCTTTGGTCGACGTTGGTGTGGGAAAATCCATTGTCTTCGTTACATTCGTCCTTGTTGGTTTGATGCCATCTTGTGTGATACGAAATCCAAGATAGTCCAACTGTTTTCGTGCCAGTTTACATTTCGCTGCGTTCAGTTTGACATTTGCTTTGTCTAATGCGTGTAGCACGAGGGCCAGATGTTCTACGTGCTTGTCAAATGATTTTGAGTAGATAATTATGTCATCCAAATATACCAACGTAATGTCCCACCGTAGTGCGCCTAATACAGAGTTGATAATGCGTTGGAATGTGGCGGGTGCGTTTGACAAACCAAACGGGAGCACGTTAAATTCGTACAGACCGTCAGTTGTTACGAATGCTGTCTTCTTTTTGTCTTGCTCATTGATTGGAATCTGCCAGTAGCCGGCCTTGAGATCGAGCGTTGTAAAATATTGAGATCCTGCCAGTTTGTCGATGATATCGTCAATACGAGGAAGAGGGTATACATCGCGTTCAGTGATCAAATTCAGCCGTCTATAATCCACGCAAAAA